TCCTCCTCCTCCTCCTCCTCCTCTCTGCTTTACCTCATACTGTAACCGAACCTAGAAAATAAACAAGCAAACAAAAAAACCCACCAAAAAAACAAACAATCAAACACACAAACAAACAAAGAAAGAAAACAACCCACCAATGAAGCTGCCCCTGATCCCCAGCTGTGGGTTGTGGTTCAGTGTAGAGAACAGAGTCTCGTCTGGCACGTCGACAGTCCTCAGCCAATCCTGAAGTTTCTTGGACACAGGGTCGTGAAGGACATAGTCCACAAACTCTCTGTTGACCACAACGTGCACAGCTCCCTTGGTGGGTACCACGTCCAGATCGGACGGCTTGTTGATGAAACGGACTTTGTTGGCTCTTTGAGGAGAGAAAAAACAGACAGACATGGCCAGTTGAGGAGAGAAAATACAGACAGACATGGCCAGTTGAGGAGAGAAAATACAGACAGACATGGCCAGTTGAGGAGAGAAAATACAGACAGACATGGCCAGTTGAGGAGAGAAAATACAGACAGACATGGCCCTGTGAGGAGAGAAAATACAGACAGACATGGCCCTTTGGGGAGAGAAAATACAGACAGACATGGTCAGTTGAGGAGAGAAAATACAGACAGGCATGGCCCTTTGGGGAGAGAAAATACAGACAGACATGACCCTTTGAGGAGAGAAAATACAGACAGACATGGCCCTTTGGGGAGAGAAAATACAGACAGACATGGCCCTTTGGGGAGAGAAAATACAGACAGACATGGCCCTTTGAGGAGAGAAAAAACAGACAGACATGGCTTTTTGAGGAGAGAAAAAACAGACAGACATGGCTTTTTGAGGAGAGAAAAAAACAGACAGACATGGCTTTTTGAGGAGAGAAAAAACAGACAGACATGGCTTTTTGAGGAGAGAAAAAACAGACAGACATGGCTTTATGAGGAGAGAAAATACAGACAGACATGGCCCTGTGAGGAGAGAAAATACAGACAGACATGGCCCTTTGAGGAGACAAAATACAGACAGACATGGCCCTTTGAGGAGAGAAAATACAGACAGACATGGCCAGTTGAGGAGAGAAAATACAGACAGACATGGCCCTTTGAGGAGAGAAAATACAGACAGACATGGCCCTTTCAGGAGAGAAAATACAGACATGGCCCTTTGAGGAGAGAAAATATAGACATGGCCCTTTGAGGAGAGAAAATATAGACAGAATGTCACAAAAACGGACTTTGTTGCCCCTTTGAGGAGAGTCACATTGCGACTGTGTCAAAAAGGAAACCTTATGGTATTTCCCACTCACACAGATACGTATTTGTGAGGCAGCGTGGTGGAATTAGGCGCTCGTCAAAATAATCGAAGTGAAGAAACTTGCATTTTTCTGCTGGTTTTTCAGTTTTTACTGAATTTTTGTTTTTTGGCTCAACACCTTTCATGACCATTAAAGAATACATTTCTTTCAGGATTTGACCGAAAAACGTTGATTAAAGGTGCAAAAAAACATAAATTGTCTGTTACCACAGTCTCTTAATTAAGATAAGGAAATAACTAATCTTTGGCGGCCATTTTTTCACTGATTTTACCTCTGAAACCAGGTGACCCCCACCTCCTTCATTTGCCAATATCTCGACTTGTATTCAAGATAAATGGATTTTTTTTCATCCAAATAAAGACTAGAAAACAACCTTTAAGATGTTACCAATAACTCTACCTGCCCCAAAATTGATGTGATGAGAGCCTGACTCCACCGTGTTGTGACACATATGTGTCACAAGGTGGTGAAATCAGGAGCTTGACAAAATGATGAAATCAACGAAATCGATATTTTTCCATAAATTCATTTGGCTTTAATTTTCTGCTCTGTCCCCCCTTTCTTTTTGTTGGTTCGGCACCACTATGTCCATCTAAAAACATATTTTTGAATGGATTTTACCAAAAGTGAAAAAAGAACGTTGACCAAAGGCAAAAGAATGTAAATGTGAGACAGCGTGGTGGAATCAGGCTCTCGTCAATTTTTGGGCATATTGAGTTATTGGTATCATCTTAAAGCCTGTTTATTTGTCTTTATTTGAATGAAAAATTTATTCATTTATCTTGAATACAAGTCAAGATCTTTGCGAATGAAGGAGGTGGGGGGTCACCTGTTTTCAGAGGTAAAATTGGTGAGAAAATGGCCGCCAAAGATTAGTTATTTCCTTAGCTTAAGGGTCTGTGGTAACTGAAAATTTACTTTTTTCGTGCCTTTAATCAACGTTTTTCAGAAACATCCACACCTAAATGAGTTCTTTAATGGGAAAGAAAGGTGTTGAGCCAAAAAAACACAAATTTGATAAAAATTCACAAACCTGTGGAAAAATGCAGGTTTATTCACTTTGATTATTTTGACGAGAGCCTGATTCCACCACGCTGCCTCACAAATATGCTTTTTTTGTAGACACTAAAGCTGTGGAAGTCTGTGGCAGCCCTTTTATCGCTCATTTTACTTCTGACACCAGGCGACCCTTACCTTCTTTAATCGTAAATATTTTGACTTCTGGTCTAGATAGATAAACCGATGGGATTTTTTTTTCAACGATAGCAAGGCAAAATGAACAGTCGTTATGATCATTTCAATTACTCCACAATAGTATGTCTCAAAATTGACGAGCACCTGATTCCACTGTGTCTTGACACATTTAATTTTTTTGAAGAATCAAGTACTAAACCAACTTCAGCCTTTGTAATGTTCAATATCACAAGCATCAATTTATCGCCAACATCACCCCCCCCCCTTACACCACCAAGCCATTCTTTTCCCTTTAAAAAAAGAAAAGAAAGTTTTAACATATGAGTATCATGTGGCTTCGGTGGCCTACTGGTTAGGCTCTCGGACTCGCAGCCGTAAGGTCGTAGGTTCGAATCCCGTCAGGGCCCAGACGTTGTGTCCTTTGGAAAGGCACTTTACACGAATTTTCCTCACTTCACCCAGGTGGGAATGGGTACCCGGCTATAGACAACGAAAGATCTTGTCAGTTTGTTAGTGTTTCAGCGCTTAATCAGCTGCTTGCACTGTATGCTTCCCGGGAAGCTGAGAATGTTTCGGAGTGTTCTATGGTCTGCTGGGGTAATAATATAGTGTAAAGCGCATAGAGCCTGCTGTTGAGCGGGGATATGTGCTATACAAATGCTATTTATTATTTATTATGTACATATTTATTATGAGGAATACGTCCTGTAGACTCACTCTCTTCGAACACCCTCTACGTCGTTGGCACCTTTAAAGGACGTCAGAATCTCCACCAGTTCCCGGTTCGTCTTCAGTGGGAATTCCTGGCCTGCCAAGATCAGAGGTTGAAAATTTTTTTTTTTTTTTTTTTTAAAGACCCAGAAGTTTTAGTAGCTCTTGTTGATTTTTTTTTTGTCATTGTTAGTTTTTCCCGCGAGGACACAAAGTTGTACCCACGGAAGGAATTCGAACTCACGAGCTTACGGTTGCGAATCAGCGAGTCAAACCAAAAGGCCATCGATGCCCAGTACATCAGTCTTTATACTCAAATATAGCACATCACAGAACCTGGAACAGCCTGCGTCCTAAACAGTCAGCTTTTACATGTCGTATCTCCCAAAGAAAAGCCTGGGGTTTTTACTGGGAGGGAAACATTCATTCTGTTGTAAGAAAACTAGAACTATTCATACGTTGATACGTTCTTCTGCAACATACTATTAACGATTTCCGTTAACTCTCTAGCCAAGAAAGAACGCTTAATATTTTTACAACGTACCAATTTGAAGCTTCTCCCAGGAAATATACGGCAGGAAAAAAGCTGTCTAAATCTAGATCTAGACTATCTTCTATTTGTGGTGGCCGAATTTTGCTATTCAAAAAGCTTTTTTATGGTTTCATCGATCGACATGCGGTTTTTCGCCAAAAGATTCTTTAAAATATTCTCCAGATCATGACGCCCTTCTTTTTTTCAGTTTTGAGACAGTTTTGCTGCAAAAAGCTAAATTTCTTTATTTCGCCGATCGCTTTTGTAGGCCGACACTTCTGTCTCTGTAATTTTAGAAAATCCGCAAGGTTTGTTTATTTCAAGCCGTACTTCCGTTCGATACTATCGCGCATTGTCGCGCAATACTGAGCACTATTTTAAGTGCGCAACCCGTATAGATCTAGATCTTGCCTCATGTTTTTTGTGTTTTTTTACTTGGTGCTAAATTCGACTGTGATCCTTTCGTTTGATGCCCATCATCGCTTTTTCTGGACTCCTTTGTCGAATTCTTTTTCTTGCTATTGGGAACAATCAACACGCTTCTGTACAACCACGAAAGAGGAATAGAGAATCAATCTATGCATCTATTATATCTTTGGCAACTTGGAAACACATGTGCCACTTTTCTCTCAAGATTTATTGCTCCATTCCAGTAAAGTTTAAATATAGTAGACCAATGATATTCAGTTGATGTTAATTGTTAAGGCATCGATCATTCCTTTCATCGAAAGGGGGCCCAGCTTGTATATTATATTTATGAGGCAGTGTAATGAAATCAGGAGCTAGTCAAAATAGTGAAATCGAATGAACAGGCTTTTTCCAGCCAGTTTTGGCAATTTTTATTGATTTCTTTATTATTGGCTCAACACCTTTTTTTTTCATATAAAAACATTTTCCATATGGATCTTAATGGAAAACATGGATTAAAGTCACAAAATATGTAATTTTTTAGATTTCAAGAACTCTCAAACTATTGAAGCTACTACCAAACTTTGGCGGCCATTTTCTCGCTAATTTTATTACTGAAACCAAGCGGTCTCACCTCCTTCTATTGCAAATATCTCAACTTCTATGCAAGATAGATAGGCATTAATTTGATTGAAAGCAAAGCAAATGAACAAGCTTTCAGATAATGTCAATAACGTCAAATGCCCAAAAATTAACGTGCGCCTGATTCCACAGCGTCCTGACACATGTGAGTTCACTGGTCTGCTTCAGTTGGCGTCTGTTGAAACTGATCTATCCATTTCTTTACTTATTTCTTGGGTGAGGGGTATCACTAAACAAGTGGGGGGGGGGGTGACTTTTGTGCGACACCATGGAAATTCCTGAGTTGAAATTTCTGGTGCATGTAATAAACGGACGTATGCTCACTTTGTTGGCAATATAAGTCACCGTTTGCGCAAAATCAAGTATCGCATCAACACACCACCTAGATGAAAGCTGAGAGACTTTGATCGTGCCAGGGCTATGACATGGCTGCATGCTGAAGTTGGAGCCCGAGAAGTTGCCAGAAGGCTTGTTGTGTCTCACTCTGTCATTGTCCGCCTGAGGCAGCGCCATCAACCCACTGGATCAGTCCAAGAACGCCCCTGTGCAGGTCGACTCAAGAAGACCACTGAGAGAGAGGACCGAAATGTCTGCACACAAGCCCTGCGACAGGACAACGACAGCCAACAGCATCAGGCATCGTCTGCGTAGTGCTACCAACACGGCGGTGAGCTCCTAGACCTTTCGGCGTCCTCTGCATGCTGCCAACATCCGGGCCAAGCGTCCAATCAAAAAACCAAGGCTGACCGCAGGACACCAGGCAAGTCGTCTGCTTGGTGCAGGGCCCATGAACCGTGGACTCGAGCCCAATGGGGACATGTGTTGTTCACAGATGAGTCACGATTCATGGTCAACCCAAAAGATGGACGTGTGCGTGTGTGGCGGCGTCCAGATCAGACAAGCAGGGATCACAAGAATGCCATGGCCAGCAAACAGTCTCGACTTCAACCCCATTGAGAAAGGGTGGTGTGAAGTTGGCCGGAGAGTCCAGCAACACCAGCCACCACCAGCTAACCGACAAGAGCTGCTACAGATCCAGCAGCAGGAGTGGGCAAACCTTCCCCAGGCCTCCATTGCCACCACCATCAACACTATGAGGCGACGCTGCATTGCTCGGCGTAGTGGGTATACCCGTTTGTGAACGGACTGTCATGAACACTAATTCCTGGATTTTTCTTTTGAGGGGTACTCTTGTTCGAGCGACATATTGCCTAAATTCGCAAAGTCATCATTCTGAAATTGAATTGATTTTGTTAAGAAATGATTCCATTATCTATCTTTGAAATTTCAAAGGTTCTGCTTTTCAACTGTTTGTGCTGCGAGAGTGTTTGCAAGTGGTCCTTAACTTTTGTTGAAGTCTGTATATATACAGTAGAACCTGCTCTACTCTAATCGCCACCTTTATCTATGCAAACGTTCGCTTCCCATTTCCTCCATTTTATTATTTTATTTTTTATTTTAAAAATTATAACACTATGTAAGACGGCCACAAGTCTAATACGGCCGACACTTTTAGACAACAGCTTGACGTCATAGACAGTTTCTACTGTAGCTATTTTAACTATTCAGAGTATCGCAGCTATGTCGACAGTGAATATCATAAAATGTTTTAAGACGCGGTGGAATCAGGCCCTTGTCAAGTTTTGGACATGTGAAGCTATTGGTAGCATTGAAAAGCGTATGCATTTGCATTGCTTTTTGGTGGAAAAAAGACTATTTGTCTTGAATAGAAGTTGAAATATGTGCCATTGAAGGAGGTGGGGGTAGCATAGTTTAGGAGGTAAAATTAGCAAGAAAATGGCTGCCAAAGTTGGGTAACGTCTATAGTTTGAGAGTCTTTGAAAATCAAAAAAGGACATACACATAATTTGGTGCCATTAGTCGACGTTTTTTCAGTAAATTTCAAAGGGGGGGGGGGGGTTTAGATTGACATAAAAGGTGCTGAGCCAAAAAAACAAACATTCGGTTAAAATTGTCAAACTAAAGAAAAACTGCCTTGCATTATTTTGACGAGCGTCTGATTTCGCCACAACGTAGTCTATGTTTTTCACTGACGTGTTAGGTCCCTCGCCAAAAGTCTGCAAATGTTAACTGGTATCACTTGTCGTTTCGTGTGTTCATACAGTTAAATACGACATTAAATAATTCTGCCATTTCTAATTTTTTTTTAATTGAATTCGATGTTCAATGTTGCGTCCAATTTAACATAAAAGAGTCTGTTGAGTTGGGTTTTTTCCCCCTACAAATTTAAAATGTCAGAAGAATTTTTTTAAAATATTGTAGTAAACCTCAGAATCAACCCTAACATCCTACATGGTGGGGTCATGTAGGTAAAGTACGGTGATGTAGTATACAGTGTCGTCACTTCAATATATCTATCTGATATAATCTATCCCCGTGGTTTTATGTACCCCGCATAATTTAGCTAAATTTGATCATTTTTTTGCGTAATTTCAGATTTTTTCCCTCTATTATTCTTTGTTAAAATTAACAGAATCGCATAATTTCACATTTTTGTGCTCAGTTTGCATAATTTCCTAATTTGTCTTGCATAAAACGACGGGGACAGTATAATCGGTCAGAACTCACTGGGCGACACACGGTAATCAGTCAGGTTAAACTTCAAGAATTGCTCTCTGAGGATGGCCAATATTAACCACAGAATGACAACTTCCGTAAAAGTTTGTCACCTTTTTCTCATACTCTCACCTATGCAATCTCTTTGGTTATGCAATTACTTTTGTGTTATGTTCACCTGTTCTATTCACAGCTGTCTTCGGGTAAACTTAAAGTTCGCTCATCGAATAAGAAATACAGCGACACCCTGAAAGTGTCTCTGGAGAACTTCAACTTTAAACCCTAAATTCAGGGAGGCAAACATTAATTAAGAGCAAAAATAATTGATAAAAAAACACACCCAAAACGCGCTACAAAGAAACTCAGCGAACTTTTCTGAATAACTTCAATATTGATTCAAGGAAAACGAATGAGACGAACCACTCACTTAGTCGAGTGTGTCTGCAGGTACGTCCAAGCACTTTAGAATGGCGTGTCATATGGTGCGATTTAGAAATCAGGGTGCTCAATGTAAAAGACTCCAATGAAAAATGTTGTTAAAGTGTTTAGATGAATGCATCCAAGCCTTCATTATTGCAGATATTTCAGAGTATGTACTATGAGGGAAGGATTGTTTCTTAAAAAGATACTTTTCCAGTCGATTAAATTTACTATCAGACAGTATCTTACACAGCAAATAAAGAGACTAGCTATACCCCCCCCCCCCAAAAAAAAAAACCCCACACACACACCTAACACTACCATATGTATCAGCAGTCCTGTGAGACTCACCTGTAAGGTTAATGAAATATTTCCACCTCGATGACCTTTTCATGAGCTCCTCCATACACACAAGCTCCGGCTCTAGAACTGAAAACTTCCCCCACACGACGCTGATCCTCGTTGGCGACATATACACGTTGGGAAAACAGGACGCTATGGATGTCATAGCTTCGAAAAACTCTGTCTTCGCTTTGACATCGACATGGATACAATACACGTTCTGTGGTCTGTACACAGCTCGTAAGAGTCTCTCCACCATCTCTATATCTTTGAAGACAACAAGACTATAGGCAAGAGGGAATTCGTCTTCCAATTTCGTCAGCGAAGTCATTATGTACCCCCGTTCTCTTTGAAAATTTCCACAATGTTTTGTCTTCTTCAAGTAGAAATCTTCGTGGAAACGAAATCCTTTCCATTCCGCGCTTTTCGATTTGGACAAAGCGTTGTCCAGACTGCCGTTTTTCTGAGAGAATAAACCGGCACAATCCACATCTCGGATATCATATAATTGATACATTTGCTCAAACATTTCCCTACTGACTGAATCTCCCTTGGAGATATCCATGGACATGGCAATAGCACGCCAAGAGTTGAGAGAATCTAGTAATGACATCCGGAAAATCACTAAAACTAAAACAAAACAACCCGCAATAAGACACTTACGAAGTGAAATAGTCCTCATGTCTGCAAAAGAAGGTCCGGCGAAACGCAACACTGAAAAACAATCTTCATTGGATCCAATCTGCAGAGTCATATGGTCCGCTTCGCAAAGAACCGAAATATCGTAAGAGAGCACAGTCTCGGTGTATCATATAATTTACGTCTTTGGATCAACATATCAGCATGTTTGAAAGATAGCCGTCTTTTGTTACCTTTTGAATTACCCTACAACATGTTATTCTATTATTGCGTTCTTCGTTTACTTTGTTTTTGGTTGCTTTTTTAAAGTTTCGTTTTTCTTTATATAATATTACTATTACAATTTGTTTGACGTCATCAGCTCTTCCAACAATAGCCTCGAATGCAAACTACATAATGTATAGACAGGACACACATGTCTGTTCTATTTCTCGTATTGAGAAGACTATAATATACTATATTATAATAAATATCACTAGTACCTAATAACTGAGAAAAAAAAATTCAAAAATCACCCCCAAGCTATGTACTGAATATCTGCAAATGGCGAAAAGGCTAAGTGAAGAGTTGAATGTGAGAAGAAGTCGTCTTGAGTGAATCCGTAATAAAATAACTTATAGTCTTCTGATGAGCATCTTAGTATAAAATATTTCTATCATTAGAAAGGGAGTGGATAGAGTTCGAAAAGTATAAACAGAATAGAGGAGAAGCAGAGAATCAAACAACAATAAATGTTTGCCTATCGTATCACGATCGCCCACGGCCTCCCCCACAACTGTCACGACTTTGCATTAACTCAATAATCCCAAAATCGTTCGAACAACGTCACATACTCCTCAGTAGTGTAACTAACTCAGGGTTTTAACTCACTGTTTGAGCCACTCCGCTATGGACAATAAATAACGTAGTCAGCACCTCCCCCCCCCCGAGAAAACGGTCTTTTTTTCCATGCAGAAATACAAATCCATGCCTTCCAATGTGTTACACCAAAACACTTAACTGGTTGAAACCTTTAAAAAATGACCCTGTATGGAATTCTTTGTCTGTCTGCCTCTCTCTCCACCCTTCTAATTCTATCTCACCCTCTTTCTTTCGGTGCAGCCCCCACCCTCCACTCTCTGTCTCTTTCTCTCTCTCTCTGTGTGTGTGTGTGTGTGTGTGTGTGTGTGTG